AGCAAAATAAGTGGGTTTTTACCCTCTGGTTACCCCCCAAAGACGCAAAGGATTATGGGGATGTGAAAGTCGAAAATTGCCCAAAAAACTGAAATCCCACCAACGCCTACATGTTTTCATTCGTAAACATGCACATCCCTGCTTTTGTGAAAGAGTCCTGTCGTCCTACACGTAAACGGTCATCGCTTACGAATCGTTTTCGACCATCCACACGTTATATAACGCTAAAACAATTATAAAATAATTGAAAACATATACGCATGCGCATAAGATTTGAGCCAGCGAACCCAAAAAATCAAATGGATCAAGAGATAAAAACAACCAATGATGAAGTAGAGATTCTTCTAGATGTGAGAAATAAATGCAAGTCGAAGAATTTATCGTTGTCTTTTAGACAGTCGTTTTACAGCCCCTTTTCAGGTTAAGCCTCCTTCAAATATAATAGTTCGTCTGGATGTTCAATACACCCGCAATATAAACTTGTATACGTGCAATCTGTGCAAGTTCGACTGAATAAGCCTTATATCTAACACGATATACAACTATTCCTCACCTCGGATACCTACTCAATATGAGGGACTGGACTATAAGACATTGTTATGCAGGGTTTTAGAATCGATTTTGAAAGTATTAGCTTAGGGCGTCTACACGAGAAGACGTAGTAAACTGCGTTGTCACTGGAAAGCGAAGGTATGCGTTTCATGCATTATATAATGAGTTTGGATCAGAAAGGACTCGTACACGCATCAAAGAGTCAATTATGCTTTTACGAATAAAAATATATCTTGAAGGTGCCTTAGCCGGGATATCAGTGATCGTGTCACTGAACTGATCGGATAAGACACAAAAATAAAACTCAAAGCATTCGTTTTCTTAACAGATATATATAACAGATGATTATTGTAAGGTGCCAATTTTATGAGATAGCACGAAGCTGAAGCCACATTGTATAGTTTAAGTGAAAGTGCCTATCAAGCCTACATGATCTCCTACATGATCTCTTCTTGATTTCATAGCCCTTATAAAATAGTGAGTGAATTTTTTATGGTCATAGTGCAATTTATTACATAGTTAGAATAGTACTCGCGCGCTGATTGGTCGAAAACTGTGTTTTATTAGTGCTGCTACCGTCTTTCTTGTTCATTGCGTAAATAAATTCAATACCGAAGCCGCAAGCTCGTGCTTCTCCTTACACCTCTTTCGTGCTTACGTCACTTCCGGCGTGCATTATAGTTATGAACGGAGAAAAAAACTGTTTCGTTTGTTAGATAACCAGCATAAGATTCAGGCATTTTGACTGTGCTAATTCTGACAGAGTTTATTCTTTATTTGTTGATTATACTTTTTACGAGTATCCTAGGTTGACGTCATGATTTCGTGATTTTTGTATTCTAAAAATATCTCAGCAATGAGAAGAGACATCAAAGAGAAAGTAAAAAAGATCCTGGATTGCCGTCATTGATGATTAGTGATTTCTATATTTAAGTGTCTCATCAACAACAAGAGATGTCAAAGAGATAGAGGCCATCCTTTATTTTATAAGACTTGATACGCACTTCAAAGACTACGGAATTCTTTTACGAAAATCTTCAAGAAAATTATGTTAATGTATGTTTCTTGATACCCTATACAAGGAAAACCCGCCTTCCTTCTCAATAGGATGCTTAAGATTCCCGTTTTTCCTTCCCGCAAACGGCAAACGTGACCACGTTTTCATTGTTTCCCTACATTTTACTTTACTTTTTGCAAAATTTCTCGACAAAGACAAGTATTCTTTTGTTTATCTACTACTTGGAGACTTTTGCGATTCCCTTTCACTAATTATAAAGAATATTTCAATGGTCAACTGACGTTTCACGTTTGCCGTAAACGAGAATCTTAAAATCTCTTAAGAGCTTTCGAATTCTGCAATGTGGTATATATTATATTTCAAAGTATTATGTATTTTAAATTAGTATTAAATGACATCAAAAATGTAATTACTTACGTTCAGCCATAACCTCAGCAAGCTTTTTGTACTTTCTTTTTTGATTTCTTTAATTCCTGAATATCAAAAATAAAAGTCAGGAAAGCTTTATTCTGATTTCTTTTAGAATATTCAGTTGCTATAGCGTGAAAGACGATTATTCTGACCTTTTTGCAATGATATCGCTCCTATTGGTAGCCGGGATAAATACTTGGGAATTGCCCTTTCAGTGGAAGGAAACACCATAGACAAACAATATACAATCTTAGTATATAGTAATGTTAAAGTTGTTTTATATGACTAAACCACGAAAACGTTGCTGACATGAGCAAGAAAAAAGTTTCTTCGACCAACACACAAGTTTTGAAAATGAAGAAAACTAAAAATCATAAATGATCTCTGATTACTCCTTATCAAAATATAACTTATATACCATACATCAATTAATTTATATTCGTTACCTGATTATGTAGGTAGGTTTTGACGAGTGAGCACGGCAAAAGATGGTAATGAAGCGAACGAATGGTTTAACAAGCTTATAATATCAAAACTGAAAGAGGAACGCTTAAACAACGAAGAGTACTAGTTGCGAAACTGGTCTTGAAATACATTATAATTAAGGAAGTGTACATTATATTGTAATTTTTTTTATTCATTTTTTGTCCAAAGTGAAAGGATAGTTCAAGTTCTTGGCATTGAGAATATGTCTGTGGCTTTCATTATAAGTTTAATTGTCTTTGTATGCATGATGTTTGGTATACAAACACGAGTTCGACAAAACGACATGTTTTATGTCATATACTATAAATCTTACAAGAAACATGTGCACGATCATCTTGCATATAAGTAATGTTAAATGAGAGGTTAATAAACCAATTTATTTATTTGCATGTAATAGACAGTTTTCTCAAGGCTGCGTGCGCATCCAACTTGACGGCCAACATAATTGAAAAACGCAAGCTTAATAAAATCGAGAAGCTAGTTTTATATTTAAAGAGGAGAATAATCGATTTTATGATTTCTTATCGAATCATAGCAATGCATGATATAATACTCGTATTCTGGTATCGTGGCCCGTCAAGTCCCTTAAATTTGCCGATGCGCACTCAACCTTGAGAAAATGTCTATTGTCATGAATGACAACCAAACGTCAAATTTTGGCCTAAAGCTACCGGCTACAATCCACACACTTTCAATCTTCCAGGAATCTGCTGTATCCCTCCGCTGAAAGCGGACACATGCCTAAATGCTTTTCTGCTTTGATTATAGTGCCTAATAATATTTAAATTAATGTCAAAAATGAATAAATACTTATTGTTCCCGCGAGTGAAATATTTTGATAACACAGTTCGACAAAGTCTAGGAAAAGTAATCAGTTTTTTCTCCTTTGAGCGAGACACGTAACAGCAAGGGTCCAAACATACCATGACAACAAGGACACTTTGTAATCGTAAACATTTGAGTGTAACATTTATTCTCTCTTTCATGGTTTATATAATGCGCAATATAATTTCCATTCTAACAACAACAGATTAACGAGCACTCGTGTCAGTTTCATAGTTTTGCTACGTGAGAGGTTTTATTATGAACCATGCCCACACCTAGAAAGATAATTGTAGTTCTTAAAATTGTTGCGATTTTCAGTCGCCAAAACGGGTTTATATTGGCGGCTAGGTACTTCCAACGCCTTCAATATAAAACAGTATTGGAATTCGTTTTGCTTCGCGATCCCCCTATCGTGAGGTAATTTTTTCCGAGAACAGATAAGGAAACCTCAGCTAGTTAAACTCATAAACTCATCTAATCTAAATCAAGTTAAGACATGCTGAAGATCTTGAGAGGCCTGTCAGTGAAGACCATCTAATTCACTCGCTGAACACATGACGATTAAGCAATAACACTAATGATAATGATTACGACGATCATAATAATGCCAACTCCAATGGACCAGTTGGCATACTTCCTGGCCATCATGCTGTAATAATTGGCATTCCCAATGTCATCACGGTTAATGGCATCACGTGCCTAAAACGTTAATGATTAGATAACATCAAAAATGGTTATCTATCAAGTGTAGTAAAAGACCTTAGTGCGAATATAATGCACAAATGTGTAATTAATGTTTTTTGCAGTACGGGCACTTGAATCATAAACACTTCGAGGTTTTTCGAAATTTCAATTTTCAAAGTTTTGAATCATCCAATAATCAGAAACCAGATTCATAACAACATTTTACCACGTGTGCTCTTGCGTTGTTGTTGTGTAGTAATATAAAAGTTTTTAAAAATCATAGTAAAAATGTCTAATATAAAGTGTATCAATTATTTTTGAATACGAGCTACCTGAATTGAACGATACGCCAATGAAAGATATTTGTGTTTTCAATTACAGTTTCTGTAAATCATTGAATGGCTTTTGAACTTTGTGCCCCAGTTTTGCATAACATCAGAATCTAAAAAAAAACATTCAAGAATTTCCGCCTGCTATGAATCGATGGCGCCTAAAAAAATCTTGATCCCTTAGTTTCTACGGAGAGCACTGAACATGAAAAATGCCAAAAAAAGCCTCTAAGTGTTTATGGTTCGAGTGCCGCACTATCATCATAACTCTCTAGTTGCAATGGCTCGCCAAGATCATACGAGGGTCTTTCAGCGCTAATGTTATCTAATAGAGGTGGTAATACTTTCATAATGCTAATGCTTTAGTCAATTATCTAGCGCAATACCTTCGTCAGCTCGGATTCTTTTGTCTTCCGAGGACGTGTCTCTTCCGAGGGCTTTACAAACCCGAATTTCCCTCATGCATAGAACATGAGGGAAACTTAGAAGACAAAGAAATCCCTTGTCTTTTACTAAATTTCCCTGTCGCATATATTAAGTGTAGGGAAATTTAGTAAAAGACAAAGGACTTCTTTTTCTTCTAAATTTCCCTCATGTTCTATGCATGAGGGGAATTTAGAAGACAATGTCTCGTCTCCCTCAGGGACAACTCAATGCCCCCACTACTGAATCGATTACAACGTATCCTACTTATCCTACGTTCTCAAAGCTGCGCATGCTCAGTCATAAGATAAATAGGATTGGATTATTTCGTATTTTGTATTTCCGCGCATGTGCAATGGCCATCGCTGTAGCACATGCTATAGAACACAACGATTTGCAAAACGATCTGCTGCTTTACGTTGAATCATTAAAAGTTATTCTTAACAAACATTTCCGTTTTCCTTCGCAACAACTGAGCGCTAGCGGAGTCTAGATTTGGTAAATAGGTAATTCCCTCCTTAATATTATTGCTAATGTCCACACAGGGTCTATATCCGTTGGTTGTGTCTGTGGTAGGGGAAGAGCAGTGTGTACTTGAATTGATTAGCTGAATGTGGTAAGTAGCAGAAAGTAATTTAAAAGTGAGGTTCAAAACTGAATAATTCGTTAAATGTATGCTCAGCAGTTCACGAACTGATTATAAATAAATACAAAAAAACATAACTTTACATAGTGTCAGATATACTCTTACATTATTAGCGTTGATGAGGGCAACGATTCCAAGAGGCCAGAAACAGCACAAACATGCAAACCATGCCAGTCCACAATGATCATAAGGATAAACTTGAGCCACAACTACTTGTGGAGCATTGGCTTGCTAAAAAAATATCAAAAAATTATAGTAATAACATTTATGATACAAAAACAAGGTGAAACACAATTGAAAATATTCATTGCCATAGGAGTAGTCTTTGAGTAGGACATAAGAAATCAGCAATAAAATTAGGGGGAACGGTGCTCGTTTGCTTATACTCAGTAGCTCCTCTAGTCATAAACCTGTCAAATATTTAATTTTCGAGCGAAAACAATAGATGTGGTTAGATGGGAAAGTGTTTCCTCTGGGCCCGGTTGTATTAAGCTTGAATCAGTGCAATCCGGCGCGGCATAAATCGTTATCCAGTGGATAAGTTGATGCTGTTATCCACAATAAGTTTATCCTCTGAATAAGATTTAGCTGCCGGATAGCGCTATCCACCCTTCGTACAACCGGGCCCTGGTGTATACTGAAAGTTTTTGCTAGGAACAAAGTAAAACTTTGAAGAAATGCAGAAGAAGACAAATAGTTATACGATATATACGATAGTTTATATCCACATATTTGAGCGCGAAGTGAACACACACAACTTGTTAGCGTTACCCCGAGAAAAAAAAAAAAAAAAAAAATAGCGCCCCTCAACTGGCATCGTATAGTATACCTTATATGCTTTGGTGACTCGTTCTTTCAAAGTATCTTGATATTATCTATTTCAAATCCTTATAGTTAACTTTCGCTTCTTTTAGAAGTGCAATTGGAGCAATTTGAGCTGCTTTGACAAAATTGGGTTACTTTATGGAATCGGAAACCACTTATCTGGATTTGCTTTGACTTTGGTTGGACATGATGGGTATCTAGTTTTTAGTTCACGCTTTTAGAGCTTCGTCTCGGTGCAGAACCGATTCAAACGAGACAGACTGTGCTTTAGGGTTTTACTTTAAAAAAAGAAACTGACTTGGGACGCAAAAGCATCAAATTCTTAGTATTCACAATTGTGGACAACATTTTGGAATATTTGAAAACAGCGCACGAAAGCGCAGCACAAGCGCACTGCCTTAAAATTAATGTTCCTGTTAGCAAAAATCAAAATCAAAACTTGAAACTTCACTTACCACAATTGTCACGTTATTGCTAACAGATGAAGTCATGACAGGTTGAGGTGGTGGCTGATATGGTGTCTGATATGGATATGCAGGTTGGGCCGGTGGTGGATACCCTTGTGGTGGATAACCCGGCTGTCCTTGTGGTGCATAACCCTGTTGTCCTTGTGGTGGATAACCCTGCTGTCCTTGTGGTGCATAACCCTGCTGTCCTTGTGGTGCATAACCCTGCTGTCCTTGTGGTGCATAACCACCCGGTTGTGGTTGATATCCTTGCTGTGGTGGAGGATTTTGTGGATAACCCGGCTGCTCAGTATATGCAGGTGGAAGTTGAGCGGCTTGAGCTTTTTTCATGGAATAAATAATACAGGATAATAGTGAGATAAATTAAGTATATGCCATATTTTTACAGAGAGCATCTATTTTATCTTGATGGTTTTAATGAGTAAGAGTTAATTACCGAGAACGGAGGCCGACGTTCGAGGTAATTAACTATTTTATTTATCAATTTAGAAGGTTTTCTATCAAATGTTGCTCATTGTAAATGCGAGGTCTATATATAGTTATTAGAGAGTTTTAGATTGACTTTTTTTCTCCCAGCAAACGGCAAACGTGACCACGTTTTCATCGTTTTCCTGTATTTTACTTTACCTTTTACAAACCTTCTCACCAAAAACAAATATTCTTTTGTTTATCTGCTATTTGGACTTTTTTGCGATTCTTTTTAAGCTATTTAGAATAATTTTTAAATGGTCAACTGACGTTTCACGTTTGCCGTGAACGTAAATCTAAAACTCTCTATTTAACGGGTTAATAACTAACTATAYATTGACCTCGCATTTATAATGAGGGTTAACAAAAATAATGCCTTGTGAAAACCGTGTCAGTTGAGAAATAACAGCATAATAGCTACCGGCCCCTGTCCTCATAGGAAGGCACGAAAGAGACATACTACTTTCGAGCATTTGGAAAAAAAGGTATACTACTAATTCATCATGATTTGTAGGGACACGTTTCTGCCTTGTGCACGTACGAGGTCATGATATACACCTATTTCAGAAATCGTTGTCGCACCAAAAGCCGCAAGCAACAAGCCAAGACCACAGAGAATGCCGGTACTTTTAGCTGTAATTAGTTTATTCATAGTGCATTTTCATTTATTGACTTCACAAATTGATCCAAGCAAGGCTGCTTGAGATGATAATTAGTGTAGAGCTATAGCAACTTACATGAACAATGAATAAATAAATTATATTTAAAAGTACCGACGTTCTCTGCGGGAGCCTTGGCTTGTTACTTGAGGCTCTTGGTGCGACAATGATCTTCGAAATAGGTGTATATATCGTATAAAGCCAGTAGTTTCATTCTTCTTATTAATGATCAATTTGAGATCGAGTTTTGAGATCAAATTGAAATCGAGTGTGCATTAACAATGCGAAATCGCAAGCATTACTGTAAGGATTGGCCAATCACAGTGCTTGTTACCATGCTCAATCTTTTTTTCAATTTTTGTTGGAAAACAACAAGCGAGATCTAGAAAACGAGGCTTTATTTAGAAGAATGCTTTCAAAGTAAACTTCTTAAGATTAAGACGCCTCAGTGCCAGTATAAATGCTTCAAAATATTCTAAAAACAACTTCTGTGGTGATGTAAGTCATGTTGACTATGAATGTGGCTAATATCCGTTTGGAATGCGCTACGCTTCATGCGGTGATATATGTGTGTGTACATGCATAAACATGTTGTGAAAAAAAATTCAAAAAATTATTGGCTGGCCAATTATTTAACTGATAGTTCCTCTTACCCTGTTTTTCTTCCATTGCTGAAATTAACTTTACAGCTTAATTCTAAAAAAAAATCAGCAGCGTTTAACATTTTCCGCATAAATACCATCAGCGAGACCTTTATAGTTACATTAATTTGGTTAAAGCCAACAGGCGATTAGCCTGCGTAGGGGCGCTTTAAAGAGGRGAGAGGATAGGGGGACTGGGAAGAGAGAATTAGAGGGGATTGGAGAGAGGGAGGAGGAGGGAGAGTAAGAGAGCACCCTCACAATTCTCCCTCTCATTTATATATTTCTATAAAGGCTTTGCACCATCACTTGATGGCAGTCATGACAGGAGGCAGGAACAATTGAATCGGGTCTAATCTGATTTACATGAGAAAGCTGTCATCCCGTGAAGGTGCACAGTCTCTGTTGAATACTTTTGACATTGCCTCTGTGTAGATTCGTTTAAAATCAATAATTGTCGGTTCAATTACTGCAATTGATAATTACACTGTGAACAGTCATTGGAATATGAAACTTGAAAACATTTAGGCTTTTAACGGCGAATTCGAAATATTATTTTTGATTCGTGTTTGCTGTCACAGTGGCATGGTTATTCACAATATTGTCCTCCTGCTCGCTCAAAAATCGATAGATTTTCATGGAACTTTGAGAGCCGGAGGAAAGATTGTTTTACTACAATTCCCAGTCACCTGCGCGACCAACTGGGACCTGAATCACAAATGAAAAATTCACTTTTGGTGGACATCAATCAAAGGGGTTTCTAATTAAAAATGTCTATAGATTCTGACTCAGAAATTCAAACACTTGAATGCAAAGCTATCAGTGATTAATTTACCTGATCTTGAAGACACTCCGATCATAGTCAATAGGCCGATCTTTGTTTACGTTTTTTCCTCATTAGCATAAAAAATTCAAGCTACAAGCAAACCGACTCCAGAAATCGAAAGAGAATGTCTTATTTAATAACTACTGAAAATTTGAGAGTAATTTGTTCATTATTTTGTGAGTAAAAGTTTTTTGAAAACACTATACTATGAATTATAAAGAAATGTCAAAGAAAAGTTTTGCCACACGACCATACATTTGTTTGTAAATCATACCGCTTTCAATGAAAGGGGTTTCTAATTAAAAATGTCTATAAATTCCAACTCAGAAATTCAAACAGTTGACTACAAAGCTATCAGATGATCTTGAAGACACTCCGATCATAGTCAATAGGCCGATCTTTGTTTACGTTTTTTCCTTCAGCATTAAAACATTCTAATATTTTGGGAGTAAATTTTTTTTTGAAAACGGTATGATTTACAAAGAAATGTTTGGTCGTGCGGCAAGACTTGCCACACAACCATACATTTCTTTGTAATTTATAGTTTTGGTGGACGTCAATCAAAGGGGTTTCTAATTAAAAATGTCTATAGATTATTTATTTAATTAATTTACCTGATCTTGAAGACACGCGGTATGGCTTACAAAGAAATGTATGGTCGTGCGGCAAGAGTTGCCACACAACCATACATATTTTTCGTGTTTTTAAAAAAAACTTTTACTCCCAAAATAATGAACAAATTACTCTCAAATTATAATAAGACATTCTCTTTCGATTTCTGGAATCGGTTTGCTTGTAGCTTGAACTTTGTTATGCTAATGAGGAAAAAAACGTAAACAAAGATCGACCTATAGATCTTTCCCGATTGTTTTTTTCCAAAAACGAGTAGGGGAATGGGTCGAGTATTGCCTCGCAAGAGTTTCTGGGATTGTTACTGGGGACGTGTGTGTTTGTTTACAAAGATTAATAGCAGGATGGCAAGCATGTTTCAACTATTTTTTCACTGAATGAAGAGTATATTTCGGAGTAAAGTTACTGAAACCTATGGAGGAATGTATGTACTTGTTTTGTCTTATGTAGTTGGCTTCTTTTTAGGGCAGCAAAAACTACTGGAAAACTCGCTGACTTACGTTTAAGTTCAGCAACACTTCATTGTTTCTTCGATCGGAAACCATTTGAATTCATTTTCACTTTGAGTTTCTAAGATATTTTTTTCATTAAAAGAAGAATACCACATCGGAATTATCGGTCGCTGCAATTTTCTTTCTCAATTTTTCCGTTACATTGCCAACAATTTCAGCGTGTATCATGCCCCGCGACTTTAACGGCAACGATATCTCGCAACGCAAAAACTGTTGCAGAAAATCAAAAAGTTTGCACTTTTCTCTGCAGCATTTTCGGAATTACACGCCTAAAAATAGCGAAAACTAAAAAAAWTGCAGCGTCTATCACCCATGTTTACTCACAATGCAATAATCCTATTCAGACTAGCCAATCAGGATTTAATACCGATTTTTACCCAGAAGTTTATTTCGAACCTCTTTGATTTGGTAGACATTGCAATTTTTCGCTGCACCAAAAATGTGAAATTTCTTTGCCAGCGCGAGAAAAAATTGCAGCGTGTATCGGCATGATTTCTAAGAATCTTCAAACTTCATGGCTAATAGATTATTTTGGGTAACTATCCATGCCTTAATTCAGCTATTCAAAGCAGTATTTTCTGTAGTCGAAGTTTTCTAAGGGATAAACTATTCATGTTAAAGAACTACGTGCCTGATCAATAGATATTATGACGGTTTTGGCCACCATTTTGACGAGTAGGCAAAAGACTAAAAGGCGCGGTTACCAAGTACCATACATTCTTTGTGAATTTTTATCGAGTGACGGCGAAAAAGTGTTAAAAACTATCAGTTCTTGCTTTTTCGAACAAAAATCAGCTCGAATCGATCAAAATATTGATCCCATGAGCTTGACTCTCCTGCTACGATTAAAACGTGTCCTTATCTTTGATTAATCGAGAGTATTTTTGCCAACAATAAAGAGAAAAAGCAAGAACTGATCAGGTACATAAATTTCTAAAACGCGTGCATTTTTTACCTTCGTTTGAGATCGATCGTATTTCAACTTCCAGCTCATTCGTAAATGAAAATTTTCTTTTTGAAAATATTTATCAATTTCGAGACATAGATTAAGGTATCATGGTACCCCAAAATTGCTCAAAAGTATCAATTTTTAAATTTTGCGATAAAATATATGATATTCTTCGATTTCCCCCCCCCAAAAATTTTGATAGTGATTTTTAATAGCGAGTAATAAAAAAATACGGTTTGTGTTAACAAAGGCGCTTCCGCTCAGTCAGAAACATTTTTGCGTTTTTCTCGGAAGTGATTTGGCGTTCAGTTACCCGTACATTTTGAGTCAGATGTCAAAGGGAATTTAACCGATTTAACTGAAATTTTGAGGAAGTCATCTTGGATATATAGTTCTTCTTCAAAAATTTGTCTCCGATTTTTTATTTTTTGCTTATTTCCAAAGTTATCGTGGATTTTGGCTCGGATACAGCTGATATATCAGCGTCATAACTTTATGAGCGCATAAAAAAGCGACGGGGCAACTAATCAAAAATCGGAGACACACTTTTGACAAGTGTTGTCTTGTGATCTCGGAAAGGTGATAAGCATTGGTTTCCGACTGTCATCGAACTCCGCGAAGATGCCACGGTGAAAATTTGAATAATTCGCTCTAACGTAAAAGGATAAATATATTTTACGAAAGGGAAAAAAGGAATAGTTTCTACATTTATTAAGCTTTCAGAAAATGTATACTTTGTTGAGGTTTCGATTAAAAGGTTTTGTGCTATTAAGAGTTGAATGCTGCACAATGGTCGCTAGGGGTACCCTGATACCTTAACCAGGGGAACTATGAAGACTCAAGCAATCCTGAGAGAAATTCTGAGCAAAGATTAGCCTGTCTTACCGTTTAAATGAAACTTTATTCAGCGACTTTTCTAGCCGAACTACAAAACGTAATTCGATCCTAAGCTGCGTGCGTGGAGACAAGCTGTCTAGATGAACTGCTGGACTGCTGGAATTAAGACTGGATATTTTTTCCGATTATTATAAAGTCATGTCATAAACGTTTTGCCCTAGATTTGGCTTTCATTGTACATTAGTAGCTCTGTCACTGTTTTTCGAAACTTTGCAACTTATTTCCACTTCTCCTTTGGATTTTTATTAGAGTCTCTGATTTATTCGTACTTAATTACAATTACAATGATATCATATATATATATAAGAAATCTGTGAATCAATTTTCCGTAAAATAGTGCTCAATACATCGATAGAAGTAGAGCAGAATATTTGTTTGAGAAGAAAAA